AGTGATGGAAAGAATTATCAAACAATCTCTCCTGGTGCATTCGCTCTCGTGGTACAGTGCTTGTCATGCTTCTTCCAGGTGCGTATTCGAATAAACCTTGAAAACAAATCCTAAAATAAAAAATCGTAACTTAAACGGAGGTTACATTCTTCAACGAATGTCAACATTCGTTTAAGGTAAAACGGATGTCCACGTCCGTTTAGGAATATTTCTATATTCCTAATCCTACTATTAGTACCCCTTGAACGTTATTGGCACCAGTTAACTTAGAAAATTACAATTACATCCCATCCTTCCCCCTGGTTTAGATTTCTCTCCATGAGAAGTTCAACATAATTCGGAGAGACCATTAGTTCTGTTAAGTTATAAAATATACATAATTAATTCTGATAAATTGGCAGGTAATTGGCCAGCTTAATGATAATCACAATACAAATTGAACATGTTTAAGTTTAGATATTTAGAACATATTCAGTTGTGTTGTTTGTCATAATATTATCCTAAAACAAGGCCAATACTTATGTTTCCTAGAGATACTACTCCACCATACAAATCATTGCCATCACATTTTACCACCCTATTTACCCTGCCCTAAATAATTTCCATATTTATCTTCCCTTTCCTTCTCTCTCTGGCACACCACCCCCCCACCCCCTTCTTCTTCTTTCCCCCCTCTCATCTCCACTTCCCACCCCCTGCTCTCCCTCTTCCTTCTTCTCTCCTTCTCCCTCTTTTGTCCCTTTCATTTCCCCTCTCTTTTAATATGGTGGAGTAGTATCTCTAGGAAAAACAAAATAAGTATTGTGTATTGGCCTTGTTTTAGGGTGTGATGATATTAATACCAAACAACCAACTGAAGTATGTGCTAAATATCTAAACTTAAACAATAGTTCAATTTGTATTGTGAATTATCATTAACTGGCCAATTCCTTACCTGCCAATTATATCAGCTAATAATCTATTCCTATTTTATAACTTAACAGAACTAATGGTCTCTCCGAATTATGTTGAACTTCTCATGGAGAGAAATCTAAACCAGGGGGAAGGATGGGATGTAATTGTAATTTTCTAAGTTAACTGGTGCCAATAACGTTCAAGGGGTACTAATAGTAGGATTAGGAATATAGAAATATTCCTAAACGGACGTGGACATCCGTTTTACCTTAAACGAATGTTGACATTCGTTGAAGAATGTAACCTCCGTTTAAGTTACGATTTTTTATTTTAGGATTTGTTTTCAAGGTTTATTCGAATACGCACCTGGAAGAAGCATGACAAGCACTGTACCACGAGAGCGAATGCACCAGGAGAGATTGTTTGATAATTCTTTCCATCACTACCAACTTTTGCAACTTGTAGTATTTCACGAGAGAAAAAAGTATAATGTTAAAATGAAAGAAGAAAAATATTTTACTCATGTACGAGACTAGAATAGGTTTTTAGTGAAATAAGTTGTGAACGAGTAAAATTAAAAAATAATTCTCTCCTGGTGCGTGTTAGGATCCTCTCCATTTTGCATAGACAATTACTGAAGAAGATTAATAATTGAATCCTTGAAATTTTTTCCTTTAATCTTGAGTTTTATACTTTTGTTACTGTCAGTTTTTCCAGTGCATCAACCTTTTCTGATCTTCAATGATATCAACCTGAGGAATGATCTCCCAAGTTTAGAAATTTACAAAAGATACTGTTTTTACTTTACAGTCTCACCCCATTAGAATTGCGGGTTTGTTGTTTTTATACATAATATTCTCTTCATAGATTCAATAAACATTTCATGGGTATGATCATTTTTCTCATTCTCTTTCTCTTTTCTTTTCCTCGTTGATGTTCTATGGCATGATACCTGGATAGGAAAGCGTTCTGCATAAACCTGGTTTACCTTGCATATTCATTCAGAGAATCTTGATCCTTCTTCAAGTTGATAAGAATCTTTATCTGGTTCTTCAGTCATTATATGCTGTTGTGTCTAGTAATGTGTATGACTTAAAGAAGTTATTTTTGTCAGAATTTGTTGCAATTCGCAGTGCTTATGTGTTCGTTTCTTGGATTTGATTGCTTCGTGGCATTTAAAGTTGGAGTCTTTAACGGGTTGGATTTAGAGATGATTATCGATCTTAAAAAAAAAAGTTAACTATGTTTTCACTGACTAAATTAATATAAAATTATAATTCGTTTATTAATTTTAAACTTTAAAAATAAATAAATATAGTTTTTTTAATTTAATTATATTAAATTTCTTTAAAATGAATATTTGAATGTTTATATCATTTCACAGATTCTTAATTTAATATTTATTGAAAAACATATTTACACAATAATAAATTAACATAATTAAATTAAAAAATTTATATTTATTATTTTTAAAATTTAAAAATAAAAATATATCAAAATTTTAAATATAAATAAATTTTAATTTCATAAGTTAAGAAATTAAAAATATATTTAATCTTACAAGTAATTTTTATTTTTGTTTACCATAACTAACTGAATATTGTATCAATCGAACATTTAAATCTTTTACAATTAGGTCGAGTCCACCATTCTAGTTTTATATAATATTTAAGCAATTAATATACTCAAAATCAAAGGATATTATTCTTTTGTACATTATTACCGTAAAAAATAATAAAATGATATGAAGTTCTCGTTCAAATGATAATTAACTAGCTCTTTTATAGGCCATTTAGTTCAAATAGTGCATTTTTTAGCCATTGTAGTTATACTCATTTATATCACTTTTTGTCATTACAGTTAATTTAATTAAATATTAGATGTAATTTGGAGAGGAAAGAAAATGGGTATATATGTGTATTCTTTTTTATATTCTATATCTTTTCAACGCCAAAAAAAATATATTTTAAAATATAAAATAATTTGAGTGGATAAAATAAAATAATATTAATTTTTTATTAAGTGTTAAATAGTTGTTGGAAGATTAAGAGATGTATGTTTATAATTTTCCTTCTTTTTTATATGGCTCTTCATATTCTATCTTTATCCTGATCCTGAACAATATCAAACTCACTTGCAATAATTAAAACTAAAATTACAAAAGTTAAACATTTGTTACTTTATATTGAAAGACTAAAAATATAAGTAAATGATAGTTCTTTTAAAAAGATTATAGTTTTACTCATATTGCTAAATTAAATAATATACATTTGATGAAGCAAAGTAATTCAATGAAGTATCAAGAATCAGATTATTGTTGAATTTTTTTATAAATCCTTTAAAGAAATAAAAATAAAAATAAAATAAACTTCCCTAAAAATTAAAATAAATGTATAAATAAGTTAATTTGAAAAAAATATTTTACATTAAAATAATTTTAATTTTGATATTAAAAAACCCTAAATAATAGTATTGGTCTATTTACTAGCTTTACATCAAAAGGCCAACAGTAACTTTGATTTTAACAGCCGAATTAATTTAAATATTTTTCTATTTTGAATCCCATAAAGAAATATTAGATTTGGAGTTTGTATTTAACATAATGATGCAATTTAATGCACTTGCTATAATAGCATAGTAAAGCACACCATTTAATTAGATATGTTAAAAAATAATAATGTTTTTATAAAAATTAAGACAAAAATTGCTATATTTTCAAAATTTGGAAACATGTTTATTAGATAAAAATAGTTTAAAATATTATTTTAATGAATGATATATAAAATAAATATGTTCAAAATGAAGTATTGTTTAAAAATTCAACATTAGACAAGCATTTACACATTGCAATAAATAATATATGTCTATGGTTTAGATCAAAAGGAACAACTTCTACATTTTATGACTATATAGATGTCATTTAGTATTATTGTAAAATTTTTCTATCTTGTTTTTATTATTTACGTACGGAGAACAAATTTGTTGCAAAAAAAAGTCCAAGATAAGATGTTGAATAAAAATTTGTTGCAAAAAAGTCCAAGATAAGAATAAAAACACTATCAAAAGTTGCACTTTAAGTATAAAAAGATGGAGAAAAAACACATATATTATGTTAACATGTCAATCTATTATGTAAAGTAAAATATAATCATGACTTAAAAAGATAGATAAATAGATTGTATTACCTTCAATATTTCACTAAGGCGTTTGAAATTAGTCTCATCGTAAGATTAACATTGTTAGTCCAACACTTAGGTCTTGTTCACTTGAGTGGATTTGAGGGAGAGTAATTGAGGGGATTTGAGAGGATTTGAAAATAAATTTTTTTGTTGTTTATTTGAGTCAATTTAGAGGTAAGTAAGAATGAATTTGGAAGTAAGGATTATGAGAATTAGTCTAGGATTTGATTGACGTTACAGATTAAAAAAATTTACTTCCAAATCCAATCTCATTTACCTCCAAATTCATTCAAATAATCAACAAAAATATTTATTTTCAAATCCTCTCAAATCCCCTCAATTACTCTTCCTCAAATCCACTCAAGTGAACAAGACCTTAAGAATTACAGGAATATAGAACTCTGGTACAGTGAACTAGGGTAGCCATGAAACGACAGTACACTCTATATGTGTTAAAAGCAAGACATAATAGATGTGAAACAAATGGTGCTAGATGCAAACATTTAAACCAGAACAAAAAATTAATGATAAATAATAAGCAAAAGGCTCCATGACAGACCATATTTGTCATCATAATTGTTTCCCTAAACCCTGACTACCAATTTGATTCCTAATGATTACTCATTTTGGTTTATCCTGAATGCTTTAGGACTAGATTACAACAGTGAAACTTTCTGAATTTCTATATGTAGCAACTAATCTGAACAGTGGACAGACACTGTATTTAAGTGAAGAGGTGTATCATGGTACATTATCCTATCCTAATAGGATAATGATACTTTGACAACATTTTAACACTGTCTACGTGTCATTCTGTGATTGGTCTATATTGGTGTTTATGATTATTATTATTGATTGTAGAATAATTATGGACCAATCACATAATGACACGTAGACAGTATTAAAATGTTGTCAAATTATCATTGTCCATCCTAATAATAAAGAATACTAACGTTTCCCTCGTCACTCAACTAGTTTCACACGTTACACCCCCATCATTTCTCTTTATTTCCCTTCTTCACTCATTGTATCATCAATCATATGAATCACTTATCTTTCCCTCTTCCCGTGTCTCTCCAGACGTACACCCAAGACCAAGAGTGGTCAGGTGATCATTATTCAAGAAAGAATTAATGACTGGGTGGATCTGGATTGAATTTCACTGATTCCCTCCAGATGAGCTCCTTGATGTGCTCTTCAGTGCATGTTGGCTGCTCAAAATCAAAATTGAATTGCCTAGGACCAACTGGTTCATCATTGATGTCATGAAGTGATGAAAGGTATGGGTGACACAGTGCTTCATCAACTGGAGGAAATAAGTGAAATATTACAAAAAGTGTATAAACAAATATGAACTTACATTCAATAATAAGCAAGTTAAAAATACATCCTTGAAACATAATTCATGAGGCATACCTGTAATGCGTTTGTTGGGATCAAAGATAAGCATCTTCTCTAGTAAATCCAATGCCTCAGGAGACATACTTGGGAATCTAGCCGAGAAATTTTGCTTCCTATAATGGGGAAGCTGTCGAATATATCTTTTAGCATTTTCACTTCGGAGAAATGCAAGACTAGCATCTTCTGGTGAACCTAATAACTTTTAAGCAAAAGGAAAACATAATAAGAGTGTCAAGTTACAAACTAATTTACACATAACTGCAAAATCGGCTTATGCAATCCCTCCATTTTCTAACAATGACAACATTCAAAGATGGAAATACAAACCCTCCGTTATTCCCTAGTGTAGAAAGGGTAGAAGGTTTGGATAGATATTACAGGAATTTATGTCACGCAGCAAATATGTTGGTTTATAAACAAAACCACGACGATGCTAAAGATATTGGCTTTTTATATCATTAACAATGCTTACCTTCCAGCTATCAAAAATAGTAAATTAGCAAGAGTAATGTTATTTCCAAATTATTTTTCACTCTCATTTCCACAACAAGGAGAAAATCAAGATGAGAAGAGATAGAAGTGTGGATTAAGATGGTTAATTGCATAAAGATAAAAGAAGGAAAGAAAAAATGTTGTGAATTTGTTGTAAGAAAATGTAGGAATAACACTATTCAATTAGTAATAGCTAGAATGGAAAAGTAAACAATTAAACCGGAAGAAAGTTTTAACTGCATGGTTTTGCACTTCATTAAGGTGAAGGGTGCCATTTCTGGACAAAAACAGATTTTTCTATTTCTATTCAATCAGAGTCTGAAAACCTCACAGAGCCCAATTCACAAAGTTAACTATCGAGCTAATAATGAGCAGTGACGGTAAGGGTAAGAAAACAAGGAGTACAAAATGAAAACCAATGGCTTTTTGTTTCCAGCAACTTGGGAGTATTAAGCATGCCTGGAAGGTCAAAGGAAACAGGGTTCATAAGTGTAAACATGTTTCTTAAGAAGAAAATATTTACAACCAAGAGACTAATGCCAGAGAGAGGTAATGCATTACATTATTTAGAAAGCTTCAGCAACCTGTAATTTCCAAATGAAGTGTAACAAGCGGAAATGAGGAGGAGGGTCACATTACAAAAATAAAGAGCAAAATGGAGAGAGAACAGAGTCAAAAAGAAAATAGAAGACGCTAGAAAGTTGTTAACATCCAAGGATAGGTGTCACCACCTCAAAGAGTTGACATGACAAAAAAGGAGAAACGTGTAAGGCACCCAAATGAATTGGGAAATTATTCTTCTCTCTCTGTGTAATTTCTGTACTGGTGTTTTTCCTTTCCATTTCTGTTTTGCTAAAGCTTCTTGTAATTAGATTGATTCCCTATGATCACATTTGAACTCATAGGAAGTGCAATATGAGCCAGACCTTGTTTTCATAACAAACCAGTCTTATTACGTTTGTCAGTCTTTTATCCGTGTATTTTCTCACTGTTTCATTGGTGCTTTCATCATCTCCACCATGACTACGAATACACCTTCACCGGAGCTTTTGCATATTCTCGAAATCTTGGAGAAACGCGATCGTGACCACGCACGTGAGATGACAAAGTTGAGAAATGAATTAGCAAATTTTAAAGCTAATATTCAAGGTGGGGGACGGAACTCCCAGGGTTTCACACATCCCTTGCAAGTGAGGAACGTGAAGCTCGACTTTCCACTGAGGTCCTTCAATTGATTTTCCGTGCAGAGCAGTTCATCAAGTATTATAATACTCTTGATGAGCAACGCATTGTGATTGCAACAGTCCACTTTGAAAAGAATGTAGTACAGTGGTATCAAATGATGCAGAGAACCAGTTCAATTATTTCCTGGAATACGTATGTCAGGTCACTCGAACTTGAGTTTGGTCCTTCTCCGTTTGATTCACCTAGAGCAACACTTTTTAAACTCACACAAATAGGCTTCGTAAACGATTATTATGTTGAATTTATTAGCCTTGCTAATAGAATTTATGGCGTCAGCGCAGAAGTTCTATTAGACTATTTTGTAAGTGGTCTTAAACCTGACATTAAACGTGAGGTCATAGCCCAAGCCCCTAGTTCTATTTTAAAGGCCATTGCATTAGCTTGCTTATTTGAAGAAAAATATAGTGTCAAAACCAAACCTCAGTATGTGAGGTACCATAGACAGAATCATCCCACCAATTCCCAACAATCATTCACTAACCCTATGCAACAGCCCATTTTGGCTACACCAAACACCAAACCTACTGCTGCATCTTTTAGAAACAGTACCATAAAGAAGATGTCCCCTACTGAATGCAATCCCGAAGAGAGCGAGGCTTATGTTTCACTTGTGATGAAAAGTTCTCTACCACACATAGGTGCCCAAATCGACAGTACTTAATTATGCAGCTAGAAGAGGAGGAGAAGGAAGAACAGGAACTTGAGGAGGATGTGGTTAACTTGGAAGAAGAATTGGCACATCATTTATCCTTTAATGCATTAAAAGGATCCGCGGGCACCGGTACAATGCGGTTTACTGGAACCATTACGGGAAAGGATGTTCAGATACCACTCAACAAAAATATGAGTTAAACAAAATATTTATTTTTATAACGAGATAATTTTAGAACTTGATAAGGTTGAATGTAGCTCTGAACCTTCTTGCACTTCATATTTTTACTCACAAAAATTTGAGTTAAATAAAATATTTATTTTTATAATGAGATAACATTAAAACGAGATAAAGTTGAGCATTGGTCTAAACCTTCTTGTGCACAATATTTTTACTCACAAAAATATGAGTTAAACAAAATAAAAATTATAATTTATAAATTATAATAAAAAGTATTGGAACCTGATAAGGTTGAGTATTGATCAATCCTCCTATGTTATTTTAACCTGAATGTCAATAGTATATTTATAAGGCTTGTGGTAGCCAAACAAATTGATTAATCATTAAATCAGACAATCAAATTCAATAATACTTGTTGATTGTCCATTAATATTATATTCTCGTGTAATATGACCGGTCAATCACTCATAAATAGCGTATATTCGCATTTAATATGATCATTAAACAAATTAATTGGTCATTAATGATATTTATCTTTCGTGATTAGTATTTGTCTGACCGCCGGTTGGTTGTCTCTTTTGGTCCCAGATTCTCCTTAGTCGATCGGTCACCGAGGTATAGCACAGTGATATTGATCAAAATAAAGTGAGTTGGTTTTGAAATTATCAAATTGAGTATTTAAATTGTAAACAAGTTTTTTTCTTTAAGAGAGTAAATAGTTTATCTGACGAATTTAAAATTTGTTGAACTAGAATAAGTTGTTTAAAAAAAATGGAACGAAGTTGAAATTTAGAAACTTTTATTAGATATTTTAAAGGACTAAAACAATCAAATTTGATTTTTTTAAGAAAAAAGGAAATTAATTTCACAACTATTCACAATATGTACACTTATATATATTGAAAAAAAAAATACTATTGGACCAAACCGATACTTACTTGAATGACCAAAATTTGATTAATATGCCTCTATTTTTTTTTATCTTTGTAATTAATGTCATGATATGATATCTCCTAAATTTATTATATTTTTTTCTCTTTCTAGATATAGAAAGGGATTTAGGTAATAAAGGTAGGTGTTCTTAACAAACAGGAAACGAAAAAATGTCCTTTAGGTGTAAGAAATATGTTGCATTTAAAATAATGAAGGGAAGTGGGAAAACGTCTATAGGTGCGTAGAGACAGAGAAAGACGTAGAAAAGGAAATGTGAGACGTAAGATGCCGCAATTGTTTAGTGAAAAATTGATGGGATTATTTGAAGAGACAAAATTGGGAAGTTGGTTGGGAAGTTGAAGAAGACGAAGACCCTATTCTACAATTTCATCACATATGACATTGTTGTGAAATTAACAGCAATGTATGAAAAACGGTCCTCTCTCCTCTAATAATATTCTATCCGAATTGCTTCATTAGTCACACACCAATTAACTCTTCTTTACTTCCATCCTCCTCTTCCAATATTCTTCCTCTACACCTCAACAATGGCCCTACCATCAAAATTCTTATTTTCTTCATTGCACTAAATGTCCACCAATTCCTCCTAATTCCTCCTAATTTTTTATTTACAAAATAAAAATTAAAAACTAAAGGATAAAAATGTTTTTAATCTCTAAATTTTTAGATGAAATTAAAATTCGTTCATGTTTAAAATTGTAATACATTTTAGTTTTTAAATTTTAAAAATGAACCAATCACTATTGACCTATCGTCTTGAACCGATCATCCTTGATTGACTACTCTCGACTGACAACAAGGATAGATCACTCGTGACCAACCACTCATACCAACCACCTTGATTGAACAACAATACTTAATGAAGCTTACATTAACATGAATGATAATCATGAATAAAACCAACAAATACTGATTAAGGTATGATTGGATTATGATTAAGCCAACAAAAGTAACTACTATAAATAAAAGTTTAAGGCATGACTTTCATATGTATGCACAACACATGCATAATCATAACTAATCATTTTCCGTTTCGTCACCTATTAATTTTAACATCGAAATACCCTTTACAAGTACTTTTTCAACGACTTTGATGAACAATACTTGGATTTGGAAGCGACTAATTGGAGACCAACTAGTCCCATTGGCAATCCACTAGTTGGAGTGAATACTTGTACTGCCTATTCTGAAACATGTGTCAAACACAATTCTCAAATAGTATATCAAAATAAGAACATGTCAAATTATGTAAACAACTCAAATGTTAATGTGAGACACTTCAATATTAATTGGAAAAATGCATCTAATACTGTGAATAAAAATTAACAACATTGAATTAAAAAGATTAAATTCATTTATTTGTATTATTTAAAAACAAAAATATATCAAAATTTTGAACAGAAATTTTAATTTTGTATCAAAATTTAAGAACTAAAAATATATTTAATTTAAAACTAAAATAATAAATACAAAATGTGTGTAAAAATGTGTTCGAAGTTAAAATAATAGTATTTTTTGCTATGTAAATAAATTAAACTTTCTCAATTCTAATAAGTTTTTTAAGGAATCGTTATTATTAACATGACTTGTATAATATAATATATGTTCTTGTGCAAAAAATGACATATAGAATAGCTAAAAGTTAAATGTGGTGTAATTCGAAATAAAATGTAACCAAATGGATTCATATGGGAAAAAATCCAATTAAATTTTTGGAAAGAACAACAAAGTATTTTAAATAATGAAAGTGTTTAACACATTTTCCCTAGGTACACAT